TTTATCCACAGGGGCCTCAGTGTGCTCAACTGTGAATGAAGAGCTTAGCCTGAGAGGGTAACAAGGATACTTTCCAACTCTGAGGTTCTGAGTTTTAATGAATCAGGACCAACATGAAGCCTTAGAATAGTTCTGGCCTCAAGGCTCAGCCCAACTGGTATGTGACTGTCAGACTCCATTATTATTACTTGACTGTGTTTGCATGGCCCACGTCTCATTGTGCGGCAGTGCTGGCTCAAGGACAGACCTTGGAATGGAGTTCTCAGCACCTCCTGCACTGCTCATATGAGAGTGAACCTCTTCCCGGAAGCCATCCTGGAAGTGAAGGTACCTTGAGGCTGGGTAGTCGCCCAACTCCGAGGTCATTCGTTTGTCTAAACACTGAGGCTGAAAGTAATCCCTGAGCATTTTGTAAGTGTGCATTTTAGGAAGATCGGACATTTGGGTTTTGTCCCTCTTTCCCAGTTACATTTGTGTGGGAGGGTTCACACTGGTTGCCAGTTGTCTTCTGGGCACATTTCTGTCTGCTTGTGGAGAGATGAAATTCTGCACACGGGACATCGCCACGGAGGAGGTGGCAGAGGGGAACTGGAGGCTGTGTGCTCAGTGACTGAGATTTACACTCACAAGTCAGGCAATCTGGCTCAAAACCTTTCTGTATTGAGTGGTCAGCTGTACTGCAATTCTGTAATTCTTGCACCTGCTATTAGAGATGCCGACAGTATACAGTCCTTATGACAGGCTTCATTTTGCAGTGAAGACCAATGTGGAAACATTGTGTAAAAAAGAACAACCTTCCTTAATTTCCTTTCCCCCATACTGTTCCTTCAGTTGAGTCAAAAGCGACAGGATGAGTTGTGTGGCCCGTGTACACAAATGTCACAGGCCACCCTTAGTTCCTGCCGTGTGCAGAAGCGACGCCAAGGTGTCCACACATGGCCCGAGGCAGGACGGGAAGGCTCCGCAGGGTGATTGATTCAAGTGGCCGAGTCCCACGGCCCTGATGCGTTCCTGGTGCTGTGTCTGAGGAGCCTGCAGGTGAGCTCAGTGCCAGACTTGTGTTTGGGCTGGCGCTCCCAGGAGACTTGAGGAAGCCAGCGCTTCCGTACCTGACACTCCTACGTGTGTGGTTTTGTTTTGTTTTGTTCCTGGATTGTTTGGTGTGTGTTTTTCTTATGTGGTAAATACGTAGGGGTATGAAGAAGTGTTTACGCGGAGAAAAGAAAACTTTCAAGTAGGCTTGGTGCCTTGCTCCTCAGAGTTAGGAGCAATGAAAACAGAGCTGGGCCATAAGAGGAGTTTGGCATTTGTGCAGTGGTTCTAGAATTGCAGAGTCAGTGTTGTCTGTATCCTGTCAGCAGATGAGGTATCCTGTGAGCATTACCGTTTTCTGCTGGTTAACATCTGGCCCATAGGCCACATGAGGCCCACAAGAATCATCTGCTCCACAGGTTTCTTGGCAGCTGCCCTCAACCCATTTACCCATATTGATAATTTGGTATGGCTCAGGAACGATGTTATAAATAGCCAAAGGACCCTTGGCAGGAAGATGAGTCCCTGCCCCTAAAGTGTACAGTCAGACTGCCAGAAACCAGTTCAACATTTTATTCTTTTTGTTGTTGTTGTTGGCAGTCTGGGGGCTTGAACTCAGGGCCTGGGTGCTGTCCCTGAGCTTCTTTTTTGCTCAAGGCTGGCACTCTACCACCTGAGCCACAGCACCACTTCCAGCCTAGAATTTCTGTTTATGTGGTACTGAAGAATTGAACCCAGGGCTTCATGCATGCTAGGCAAGCACTCTACCACAAAGTCACATCCCCAGCCCCCCCCATTTCAGCATTTAAAAAAATCCTTTATAGAAATTCCTGTAATTTTAGTGAGAATCCTAACAGTATAGCTTTGAAGTCTTGGAAAAAGAGAAGACTTTAAAACTAACGATAGTACATTGGAAAACAAGGGTGAGCATAGCGTTAGCAGTGGAGGGCTCATTCCCGTTATTTTTTTCCCGTTACTTTTTCTAAAGAAGTACGTAACTGTATTAGCTGGTGATTTTTTTCCCCTTGGAATTGAATTTTGTTTTATAAACTGGGCTATTTTTATCATTTGGCAGCTGGGGTTTTGGAATCAGACTGGAGAGTTCTGATGCCAGCTTTACCATTTTTAAACCGTGAGGTTTTGAGCTCATCCAGTGTTGAGCATTTCTTATTTGTAAGATGCAGGAAACCAATGCCAGAAGGTTGTTGAGAATGTTCATGAGAAGGTCTTCTGCCTAACAGGCATTTATTAAATGTTAAATCCATTCCAGTGCAGCAGGAAACAGTTTAAATCTAAAATCTCAGGACTCAAGTACAGAAATAAAGACATAAAACAGAGTTTGGTTGTAGGTTACTTGGGCTCCATCTTTAGCCTCTTTTTGATGTCCCTTTCCAGAACACTTTAGAACACTTAGCTCAAAGCCCTAGGTTTGAGGAATAGTCAAGACATTAAGACATGAGTGGTGTTCTCTGGAAACAGTGGTTGAGGTGAATGGGTGTCTGAACTCACTGTTACCACAGTACAAGCAGGTGCCATAATTCTGGTTCCTGGATGCCCAGTGCTGCCCAGTACTGTGCTGAATATGCATTGTCCCATTCAATGCCTATCAACACTTGAGATGTGGTTATGATAACTTATTTAATACACCTGAGGAAATAAGGCGCACTATGTTAAGAAGTGGATCTCTTCTTCCATGGCTTGGTAAGACTTTAAGCCAGGACCGTATTGTCTCTGGGTCAACAGTTGTGGTTTAGTACCTAATCTGGTTGCTGATTTCCATGTAGAATGCAGCACTTGCTAGTTACAATCTTTGAACCATTGTGTATCTGTCCAGGATGTGGGATGCTCCAGGGAATTGATTGTGTATGTCTAGTGCCAGTTTTTTTTTAAAAATAATTTCCTGCTGTTCTTATGTTGACTTTTATCCATCTAAGACAACTGCAGGCATGACTGTTGGAATCAGGATTTCTTTGCCTTGGCTTCGCGCAAGAATGACCTGGGAACTTGAAAATGCAAACCAAAGAAAACCAAACAACCCAAAGCCCTAGTTAGTCTTCATTCCCAGATATTCTAGTATAAACTGGAAACAGTGCCTGAAGTCTGCTGGCGACCGGTCCAGTTTGGGCCCAGCTCAGGATCTGAACTCAGGCTGGCTCCGAGAGGAGCTTGGATCAGTCTGAGAACATGCATCGTGGTCCTACATCCCAGGCTGTTGGTGATCTGGCTCTGCATCTGGGAGCTTCTCCATGCCTCATTCCCCATGGCCTTTCCGAGATGCCTCCACCCCAGAGAGGAGGAGGACAAAGAGATGAAGTGGTGTGCGCCACGCTTGCAGAAAGGCCTGTTTAGAAGGTTATTGTTTCTCCCAAGTGTAAGTGCTTGGTGCGAGCTGACTTTTCCACTGTATATTCTTGGATATCCTGTCTCTGTGTATGTACCTTTTCTGGTCACATCCCAGAAGCATCTTCCATCTTGGTAAAAAGCAAGCATTGTAGTACGAAACCATTCCATAGGTTAGTCGGGACTGACATTTTCTGTCAGTGGGCTCATGTTTCCTGTCTCCTTCACTGTTCTCATTCTCTGGTCCCCCCACCCTGTAGCTATCTTTAACATGGACAATGACAGACAGTAGCAAATCCAGCTGTGCACAATATTCTAGGCCGCGGAAGATTTTTAAGGGAGATAAGTAGTTTACTATTTGCCAGAGTGACCTGTTGGAACCCAGATTTTATGAAAACATGGTGTTAGCAGGTTTTCCAGTTGGCTCAGTAAATTAAATTTTCACCAGCAAATATTTGTCCACAGTAATTGAAATCACTTGTTATTCTGCTTATACATAAGAGGGCAGCATGGTACTGTAAAGCAATCGCTTTGTTGAAATTGCTTGTTTTTATTGGTCTATAATCGTTTTTAGGTTAGATTTTTCAGGCCGTGCAGTTAAGACTCCGACCTTATCTTTAGTTTTTAAGCATACTTCATGAGTGTAAGTGATATTTTTATTCCCATCACAGGTCATATGTCTGATTTCCTTTACACAAATAAATATGCAGAAGCCTTTTTTTGTGCCTTTTATTTTTATGGTTTAAAGCTAGCTGGTTTGCTTAGGAGTATCAGCATGCATCTCTTTGGAGATGCATGTCTGCTAGGCTGATGTCTCTACTCTATTTTATTTTGTGACTCTGTTAAAGACTTGGGTGTGCAGCATTGAGGGGATGGAAACCTCTTTTCTCCGGTCTTGGCAGACACAGACCTGTTATAAATCATCCTGGCATGGAGGATTTTTCAGTACACTGCCCATTACTGTTCTCCAAAGAGGAGGAAAATGACTAAGCAAAGAAGCAGCATTCAGTAATAATATTATTGCATGACAATGTAGATAAATCAAGGTGCTGATTATGTTCTAGATACCATTAATGGAAGGAGAGCACATTCAGAGGAGTTGTAAGGTATTAAATGAACTGATAGAGAATGACCGTAAGAATCCAGAAAGGTAATTTCAGAAGCACAGGCTATTTTTAAACATGTGAAAAAATGTTTTCAGTCGGATGTTTCTGTTTATGTAGTTTGAGAAATGATTCAAGACTGGCGTTTTGGACCTAACTATAACTCTGTGAAAATTTAATGGGATACTTGTTTTTAATACTGTATCCTGGCTGCTTCTGCTTTTGGCCATGAAGAGCTATGGTGCCGTGTAGTCCTGGTAAAGATAATTAGACTTGTGTAGTGTTTTTTGGGGGAAAAAAAAACTCTGAAGTATAATGATTTGATGGTGTTTTCACTTAATTTCTGAGAAAAATCTTACATTGAAATCTTCTGCTGAAATAAATAAAAAAGAGCTGCGATCTCTTCTTCGTTTGTCGGCGTGGAGTGCTGGTCTTGGGGTGCGTGAGTAAGTGTGGCCTTTGCTGCTTTGCCGGCGCAGTACGCACACAGATGACAACTGATGTCTTTTTCTGTATTGATGGCAGATTTTTCGGACCTTGCCTGATACCACATTCCCTGAGCCGACCTGCCTGTCGCCGTCACCCCCAAATGCTCCACCCAGGCAGTCAAAGAGACAAGGCCAGAGGACGAAGAGACCTGTAGCTGTGTACAATCTTTGCCTGGAGCTGGAAGGTGGTAAGACGTTCACTGTGTTTTCCTGCTTGGAGCGACATTCAGAGCACAGGAGCCTCTCACGTATCATCGGGGCAGGCCGTGCGTGGTTCTCTGCCTTCTGGGTTTTCGTTTCTTTCTCCCCTAAGATTATAGTTTTTGAGATTAACAGGGAGGGTGCAGCTTTCTTGTCAGGGAAGAAAAATGCAAGTTTCAGTTTTGTGTTTGTCTTTATTATGCACGGTTCTTTTTTTTATTTTTAAAAGACTGCTTAAATTTCTTTTTTGGGAGACTTGTGTGACCTCCTGTGAGGTTACATAACCCTGAGACGAATGGAAGGGAACTAAAATTAAAGCAGATCTTTTATGTGAGGAGCTGGTAGAATCTAACATGAACCATCTCAATTAAAGGCACAGATCACCATTGCGTTGGGCCTTATAGTTTTTCCTCCATACTTGCTCTGGTTGTCTGACTTTTATTTCTCCTAAGGCAGAACATTTCCTCATGTGTGGCCTGCCTTTGGAGCCAGGCAGAGTTAACTGGGCTGTGATGGGATGTTAGCAAATGGTGGTTCTCCTGTTTCAACCAAGCTGCCATGTTCCAGCTAGTTGTTACCCTGTGGCTGCATTGTCTTAGTCCTGCCAGCTGGTCCAGTTTATAGAGAGAGCCTGGAATTTAAGTTTCCAGTGTTCGTCCATTCAGAGGAAGATCGTGAATCACGTAAGGGCCATCTCCTGGTCACTTGGTGACTGGGTGGTGCGGTTTTGATGTGGAGAATCAGTCGTGGTGTGAAATTTAACGGGCGTTTCACAGGCATGTCTGAAACCGTGACTCCTGTCATGCACACGTGTGCTTCTCCCATATTGAAGACATTTCCTGAGTGTGAAATCAGTCTTCATTTTCTTCCTCTTCCCCCCCCCCCCCAGCCCCCTAAGATATTTTTCATTGGTTTAGGATCCCTTTGAACTTCTGAGAGTTTACATTGGTTTGGAAGTGTGAGACGATTGTCAACGGGAAGAAGAAGAGACTGGGGACAAATACGGTGTCATTATTCTAAGCTGCCACACGTTCAAACCTTGGTATCCAAGGGTCCGTGTGAGGAACTGGCAACTGTCCTGGAGTGACTTGGACATAATGAAGGAAGACTCCGGACACCCCATCATAACACGGGCAGGAGCTCTTCTGCTGTTCTTTCAGATCGCTTCAGACACACACATAAGACACAACTATTAGACATTTTAACAGCCAAGTTCTTATTTTCCCAGGGAAGAACATGAATCATTCAAATCAGCTTAAAATCTCACAACTTCCCTTTAGACACTAGTCGCTTCCACTTCTGATCCCTTTTCCCTCTCTCTCTTTCTCACTTTCACTCTTTCTGAACAGAGTTGCTAATAAGGAGAAAAACTGACTGGTTTGAATTGCACCTTCTCTGTCCCCTGGTAGAAGTGTTAATAAATAGTGAAACAAGCAACTGTTGGAGCCTAGGAGGATGCCATAGGATAATAGTTGAATTGGTTTACCAGCCCTGAGCAAACCAGAATAGACAGCTACTTCATAAGGAAAGGTCAGAGACTCCCATTGGTCCAAAAATCACATCTACCATTTTGATTTTCTTAAGAATGGAAGCAAATTTGTGGAGATACTAGTCTTTTGAGTACTGGCTTGCTCAATGATTATTAATGCCTGAGAAGTGTGAATACTGATTTGTATCAGTGACAAATTCAAGATGGTATATTACCTTTCCTAATCTTAGGTACAAGAGCATAGTATTCATTTTATTTAATTTTAAGTGATAAACTATTAATATAAATTTAATTTTGCTGGGGATGGAACTAGGGTCTTCAGGCATGCTAGGTACGTGCTCTACTGCTGAGCCATGCCCGAGCCCTGATACTAATAAGGGAAAAAAAGTGGATTGTCCAACACCGGATTCCTTTGGTTCTTATGTTAATTATTTCGTGATGTTTTATTGACCATTTGATGAAGAATTTTATAACCTTTCATTAATTTCTTTTAATTGCTGCCTTGATTTGTTTTTGATTTGTTAGAATTGGAAAAGTCATGAGTCTGGTCATGGAGTGATTTCATTTTACCTTAGAGCCATGAGGTGTAGTATAAGGCAATTAAAAGCTGTTATCACCCTTGCCAGTTGTTTGTATCTAAGCTTTATTGGAAGTCAGAGTAGGTGAACAAGAGTTATTCAGAGATAGAAAAAAACTAGGGCATGTGTTTTGGTAGAGGCTTTCCTGTTCTGCTGATTTAAAAATAATAACAGAATCCTACAAGGAAAAGATAGTAGAAACAGTTCATGCTGTTGAACATTGTTTAGCATATTAAAAGTTGCACCTTCTCAGAAAGAAATACATAAACACACATGAATGTGTATATCTATGTATATGTGTATATATGTATCTGTGCATATTGTTATACATGTCTATAGACCTTCCTACCTTCCTACCTTCCTACCTTCCCACCTTCCTCCCTTCCCTCCTTCTTCCCTTCCTCCCTTCTTCCTTCCCTCCCTCCCTCCCTGCCTCCCTCCCTCCCTCCCTCCCTCCCTTCCTTCCATGGCTTAGGTTTTATTAATTGTCCATGTCATCCACTTAACAGTAACACATAAAGACTTTAAAACTTTGTTTTTAAAAAAAACTTTTGCTTCTGTTTTTTTTTTTTTTTTATGTTTTGAATTCCTTGAAGATCTCTTCTGCAGTTGTTGAAGCCAAAAACTTCACCAGATCTTTTTTTCACAAGATTACTGCCCTATCTCAAACCACATCACTCTTCCTGAGTTCTGAGACCTTGGAAACATACCAGCCAAGCTCATCATTTGCCTCTCCCCCCTCCATTCATAGCTAAGTCAGTCCCCCTGTTTACCTAATTTTGGTTAAAATGCACATTATAGATAAACTTTAGTTGATAGTTTTTCAAAAATTTCTATTTTTATGTATTGGATAGAAAATGTGCATCTAACCCCTGCTCCCTTTATTCATTGTGATATAAGGTGAAAGTTGACTTAAGAAAATATAGGACAGGGGGCTGGGAAGGTGGCTCAGTGGTAGAGTGCTTGCCTTGCATGCATGAGGCCCTGGGTTCGATTCCTCAGGACCATATAAGCAAAAAGAAAAAAGCCAGAAGTGGCACTGTGGCTCAAGTGGTAGAGCTCTAGCCTTGAGCTGAAGAGCTGAGAGACAGTGCCCAGGCTCAGAGTTCAGGCCCCACAACCGGACTCCCCCCCCCCCCCCCAAAAAATATATATATAGGACAAAAAGATTAAAAAAAAATAAGACGGTTATCTGTCAAGATTTGAGGAGCAAAATCAAAAAGCTAGAGATTATCTTCAGCCCAAAGATTTGGTCACAGATTTGGTATTTGAAAGAAGTGGTTTGTGGTGTATTATTTCTTCTTCACTGAGTAGGAAACTGTGCTTTGCCATAGCCAATCTTGGGAAATATCTGGTTTCAGTGTAACATTCAAGGAGCTCAAAAAGTCATTTGTGGAAAGCCAGCAACTTACCTGCTGCAGGCAGAGAATACCAACCCCTTGACACAAAGGTCCCTTGCATCATTTGATAGGATTTTTGTTCCTTATTATTATGACACATATAGTGCCAGTACTAGGGCTTAAACTTCGGGCCTCACACTTTCACTTGGCTCAAGGCCGTTTGTTTTACCACTTGGGGGCCATATCTTCACTTCTATCTTTTTCCTGGTTAATTAGAGATAAGGCTCTCTCTAGTATTGTCTACATAGGTAGTCTTTGAACATAGAATTGAACAGAGATTCTCAGATCTTAGCCTTCTGAGTAGCTAGGATTAAAGGTGGGAGCGCTGGCATCTAGTGATTTTGATTGTGTTATTGAGCTCTGTCATCAGTTGGGAGATGACAAGTTTAGTCATAGAAGAGAAGTGCAGTATTTCTATAAAATGTAAACTGATACTGGCACCCTTAACTGTATTATATATACTTGTTATTTTTCTTTGTCATGTGTGATTAATTCTTACCAAACCTACTTTGTAAAATAATTTGTACTTGCAGTTATTTGCTTAAGGGTTTTTATCGATGATTAGTATGAACTACACTGGAAATAGTACCTCATTTTTTAAAAAATCTATACTGAGATTCTTATCATTTTGAAGAATACATACGGTTTCTTTTCCTATAGCATTTAGGAGTCTGTTTCTTTCCTATAGCATTTAGGAGCTGTCATACCTAGGTAGACTTGGATAAGTCAGTTGTAAAATAGCAAAATATGAATGAGGCAGGCTGGTCAGTGATAAAAAGAAGATTAAGAGTGAAAGGTTTGCTTTCATTTTAGCCTCCAGTTATTCTTCTGTGTTTTTATTTCCATAGCACTTAGAGTAAAGTAATTCTAAAAGCAGCACTACATGCACTACATGTTTGTTTTCTTCTGCCCTATAAAGAGGGCTGCCTGTTTGTTGTAATTCCTCCAAATAGATGAAGGGAAGATCGTGGAGCTATATGAGATGAAAGTGATGTTTGTTATTTTTCCTCGAAGGCAGGAAAAAAATTAAATGCTGATTTGAGGGAGGAGAGGGGGTGAGGATTGCCATCTGAATTTATACTTCTTTCTTGCTTTATACTAGGTCTAATTTTAAACCGAATTAGACATTTATAGGACTGGTTTTTATATGTATCTTCTTGATATAATTGGATGTTCTGTAATTCTTTTTGTACAGTATATAGCAATTTACTTATATAGGCAAGTTAAAAATTATGATTTAATGTGGGTGGAAAACAAAATCATCTTGCAAGTCAATTGGCAAGATTTAATACGCTAGCGTTGGTCTTTCTTGAGAATCGTTGGGTTGGCACTTTTAACATTTAGATCACAAATGTGCTAACTGCAGCACATTTTGCTGAACATGTGTTATTGTAGTCCAACAGAATAGTAGATATCATGAAGGATACGAAGACTTATAAGCAAAAAACAAATACATTCACTGCCGATGAGGAAGAGATGGACAAATGATGGAACAAAATCCATCCTGTTTGTGGCGCAAG